TTAAAAACAGCTCAAAAGTGTCAAAGAGTAATCTAGAGAAGTTTAGAGCCGTCCATCTTTACGGTTTAACGTTACATTTCGATACGCCACGTGTCAATACCTGGTGCCTTCAAGAACCTTCTCCTTACTCTCTTCCCGCAACTGCCTTTATAACTTCAAAATCCCAAAAACCCCTAAATTTTCTCACATTTTCTCGGGAAAATCGTAACAAACAAAACATTTTTTTCCTCCGGAGAAATAAAATTCCGACGATCGTTTTCTCCAGTTCCGATACAACCCATAATTACCCCTAAGGGATTCGAATTTTCCCGCGTTTTTCTCATCGGTTTATCAGAAAATCTCTCAGAAAGTTTTCGATTTACAGTTTCTGATTCAGAATGTATAAGTGGAATCTTCCGTACCGGAAAGATGACGTGGAGACCGGCGGTGGAGGCGAGAGATCTCTGTATCCGACGATGCTTGAGAGTCCCGAACTCCGATGGGGATTCATACGTAAAGTATACTCCATAATCGCTTTTCAGCTTTTAGCAACCATCGTCGTCGCAGCCACGGTGGTGACCGTTCGTCCGATCGCCGTGTTCTTCTCAACCACCAGTGCCGGTCTTGCTCTCTGGATAGTTCTAATCATCACTCCCTTCATAGGTATAACAGAGGATTTGATCCCGATTTTATGTTTGGTTTTCGTTGAGTTTGGTTCTGATAATGACTTTTGTTGTTTGTAGTTATGTGTCCTTTGTACTATTACCATCAGAAACATCCGGTGAATTACTTGCTTCTAGGGATTTTCACGGTGGCTTTGGCTTTCGCCGTCGGATTATCATGTGCATTCACCAGTGGTAAATACTTCATCGCCTTTACATTTTGTTTACTTGTGAAACACTCTTTGATTTTTTTGTTCGTTTCTTGCCTTTCATTGGACTCTGCTTGAATCATACGCTAAGTATTTTAAATTACGCTGTGTGATTGGTCTCCAACACATTTGAGCTGGTTTTGGCTTTCTCAATGCTCCATAACTCGTTCATGTCAAGGATTTAGAAGAAACCTGGGTTTTTGCTTAACATGTATAATAAGAAAAGCAGAAATGTAGATTTAAGGTTAGGGTTGCAGAGAAGTATTGTGTCCAAATTGGTCATAGTTTTGAACACCTTAATTAGCCGTTTATGTCCAAATTGGTCATAGTTTTTAGCTATGGATTTATGAACACATACCGATTTCTGATTTGATATATTTCGGCATTATAATATGGATCTTATATGATCTGAAAAACCCCTTTGAAAGAAGGAAGTTTTGGGACCAGAAACACATAATAATTACAATTTTTTTCATGAGATTGTGGAACTTAATTTGTTGTTGGAACAGGGAAAGTGATTCTTGAGTCAGCGATTTTAACAACAGTAGTGGTGCTTTCCTTAACTTTCTACACTTTTTGGGCGGCAAAGAAAGGATATGACTTCAATTTCCTTGGTCCTTTCTTGTTTGGTGCTATCATCGTTCTAATAGTCTTTGGCCTCATCCAGGTAATTACAATTGCTTGTATATATTGGTTTTAACATTCGAGTGAAACAAAAACACAAGACTTTATCAGCCTATGAGGGTGTGATTTTAGAAGTTGAGGTTGAAAACATGAGCTTGATCTTTGGTTTTGTGTGCAGATTCTGTTCCCATTAGGTCGGATCTCAGTGATGATCTATGGTTGCTTGGCGTCGATAATATTTTGTGGCTACATAGTCTACGATACGGATAATCTCATCAAACGTTATAGCTATGATGAGTACATTTGGGCCGCGGTTTCGCTCTACTTAGACATCATCAACCTCTTCTTGTCTCTCCTCACCATTTTCAGAGCTGCCGATAGTTAAATGATATGAACTCTTTTCGCAGTCTCGCGATTAGTTGTTGTTATTAACATATGCAAATCTTTAAAATCTGTTAACAAATACTCTTTTACTTGATATAATCTCATGTATGTATAGAATTGGTAATGCGATTTGAAACATATTTATTATTAATGCTTTTGATTTATATATGTGTATATATCTGCCATAATTGATATTTGGTAAATATCCTTTTTCTAGTTGATGTAAATCTTAGGAGACTAAAGTCGGTCATATCTTCCATAGTTAATATTTGGTAATTAAATATCCTTTTTCTAGTTTATGTAAATATTAGGAGACTATAAGTCGGTCACGACTCACATACATATATTTTTGTATAAATAGATGTATATTCACCAACCTCTATGCATAAGAAAACCTTAATCTTACGTCTAGGGTTTCTCTCACAATCCCCAAAAAAACAACGATCTTTTTTCATTACTACTTCCTCTATAACCATGGCTTCTCTGTTGGTTAGTCCACCAGAGCTCCGAGACGCTTACTCTGTCACCCCGAAACACACCACATCAGCCGAAGTTAAGGATCACTCTTCTTCTCGTAGAGGCCGGACCGAGAACGGAGCCGACACGTATCTCTCCGCAGGTAATCCCTGCCTCGACTTCTTCTTCCACGTTGTTCCAAGCTCCTCCAAGAAAGATATCGAGAAGAGACTCGTCGCGGCTTGGGATCACGACCCTTTAACAACTCTAAAGCTTATATGTAACCTTCGTGGAGTCCGTGGTACCGGAAAATCCGACAAGGAAGGGTTTTACACGGCTGCTTTATGGCTCCATGGTTGTCATCCTAAAACCCTAGCTTGTAACCTCGATTCCCTCTCGAAATTCGGTTACTTTAAGGATTTCCCGGAGATTCTTTACCGTATTCTTGAAGGCCAAGATATCCGCGAGACTCAGAAATCGGAATGGAACGAGCGGAAAAGAGGAATCCAGAGACTATCTAGAGGTAACAGAAGAGCTCCTTTCTCTTGACGTTGGCTCGAAAAGCCGGAAAAAGGAAAAAGAAGCCGACGGTGACGAGGGAGCTGAGGATAGCGAACGCAGTGAAAAGGAACCAAGTGGAGAAAGAAAGAGCGAGTTTGGATCGCAAGGACAAGAAGATAGAATTGGTGATGCAAGCATTCACTAGATATGCTCATGATCCAGAATATAGATTCCTCCATGAACGAGTCTCTGATCTATTCTCTGACCACTTGAGAAGAGACATGGAGTTTTTGAGTTCCGGCGAAACAAACAAGATCTCTCTAGCTGCTAAGTGGTGTCCGTCGCTTGATTCTTCCTTCGACAAAGCAACTCTGATCTGCGAGAGCATCGCTAAGAAGCTCTTTCCACGTGAATCCTTCTCGGAATACGAAGGTGTAGAAGAAGCTCATTACGCGTACAGAGTTCGTGATCGGTTACGGAAACAAGTCCTTGTTCCTCTACGGAAAACTCTGCAACTCCCAGAGGTTTACATGGGAGCTAAAGATTGGGAATCTCTTCCTTACAATCGAGTAGCATCGGTGGCGATGAAATCGTACAAGGAGACATTCCTGAAACACGACGCGGAGAGGTTTCAGAAGTATCTAGAAGATGCGAAATCAGGGAAAACAACGATCGCCGCCGGAGCTGTGTTACCTCACGAGATAATCGGAGAATTGAACGGAGGAGACGGTGGACAAGTAGCTGAAGCAATGGAAACGAATGGTTGATGATCTGAAAAAGAAGGGTTCTTTAACCAACTGCATCGCTATCTCCGACGTATCGGGATCTATGAACGGTACTCCAATGGAGGTTGCCGTGGCTCTGGGTTTACTCGTCTCTGAGTTGTCTCAAGATCCATGGAGAGGAAAGCTTATAACTTTCAGCGAAAACCCACAACTTCAATTGGTGGAAGGAGACGATCTTAGAACCAAAAAAGAGTTCGTGAGGAAGATGGAGTGGGGAGCGAACACTGATTTTCAGAAATTGTCTGATCTGATTCTGAAAATTGCGGTGGAAGGGAAACTGAAACCGGAAGAGATGGTCAAGAGGGTTTTCGTGTTCAGCGACATGGAGTTTGATGAAGCGTCGGGTTCTCATTATTATCAGGACTATCGACATAGATACTATTCTGGGTCGGATTCTGGGTCTGAGGCGGAGAATGGTGGATGGGAAACGGATTATGAAGCGATCGTGAGGAAGTACAAAGAGAAAGGGTACGGTGAAGCTGTGCCGGAGATAGTATTTTGGAATCTGAGGGCTTCTAAGTCAACGCCGGTGACGGCAAATCAGAAAGGTGTTGCTTTGGTGAGTGGGTTTTCGAAGAATCTGATCAAAATGTTTTTGGATAATGACGGAGAGATTGATCCGATGATGATCATGGAGGCTGTAATCTCCGGTGAAGAGTACAAGCAGCTTGTTGTCATCGATTGAAAACAAAACACCCTGGCTTTTGGGTCGGGTTGAATCCTGGAGCATCTCCTTTGGCCTTTGTCGTTGGTGTTATTGCCACTTTTGGTTTTGATTCTTAAGAAGAGAGTGTTTTTGGCTTTTATCTATTCTTCTTTATTTTTGTTTAGATTCCGAATAAAGAAGAGATTGTTAATTTTTTTTTTGCTAAAAAGAAGATTGTTTGTCTTCTATGTTCGAATCTACAGAGTCACCATTGAGCCATTTGAATATATACACATTTCTTTTTAACTCTACCAAAACGCAAAAACAGATATTACCAAAAGTGTTTCTCGTTCATATTTAAACTTAAATCTGGGATACCATTCACATGAGTATTATTACGCTTACATG